GCGGCGCAACTCCCCAAATAGTCCACATTTATCCGTCAGTGCACTGAGAAACAAGCACTTGGGGAGCAGCAATGTTTATATTTTATAACTTTTTTTCATTGATAGTTTTGGAGTAGAAGTTATTTTAGCCTCTGGCGATGCAGCACGCATCTATAGCACTTCCTCAGCGGATCATTCTTAAACAGGAACCAGTCAAGAGCCCCAGTGAGTTGTTGGCAGCTCTCATGTGGTGCAGCTGCAACAGCCTCGATCTAAAACCGCTGGACAGAAGCCGAGCGCAGGTTACACATATCCAAATATGCGCGTAATTGGAGTGCACTGGCGAGGCGTCCCTTGCACCCCCAACGTTACCGAGTTAACGTTGTCGTGATGTTTAATACTTCGGAAATTGAGCTCACTTTTAACAAGAAAGAGGATATTTCCGAAGTTATCAATGGCACTAGTCTGCAGTTTTTGTACACCGTCACCACCAGTCCCACAACCATGGGGAACGAGTCGTGCGGGGAGCAGCTGCTGGATTTCGGGCGCCCGGAGAAGATCATTATCGGGGTGATGTTGGCGATCATCACGGCGGTCACCGTCATGGGAAACACGCTGGTGGTGATCGCGGTGTGCGTGGTGAAGAAGCTGAGGCAACCTTCGAACTACCTTCTGGTATCCCTGGCAGTGGCTGACCTCTCGGTGGCCATTGTTGTGATGCCGTTTGTGATAGTGACAGACCTCACCGGGGGCAAGTGGCTTTTTGGAGACGTGTTCTGCAACATCTTCGTCGGCATGGATGTAATGTGCTGCACTGCCTCCATCATGACCCTGTGTGTGATCAGCGTCGATAGGTAAGTTTCCAAAGTTAGCAACTACAGCTGCTCTGACATTGAAGCCTGTAAATTAGCAATGGCACCAAAATTACGCACGCTTTGCGCCCTGCGTTTAAAATGAGATGGAGAAGACACACGTATGGCCTTTTATAAGCTGCTCTAAACTACTTCAGTGCAGTGAGGGCAGGGACAGATCAAATGCCACATGAAGTAATGGAAGCATGAAGTAACTGGGCGCTATTTAATGGCATTTACACTAATTACCACTGAATCAGAAAATTAATACGCAGACTGTGATTAATTTATAGCACGCTTAATTAATTAGCTTGACCGGACAATGGGCAGTGTTCCCTGTAATTATACGCATTTAGGATCAGTACAGCAGTACGGCACAGCTGCTTTGACTGAGATACATGATTTACCATCGTCCTTCATCTCTGTTAAGGGCACATAGGTCGCACCTGCGCCCTATTATTACGCCTCCCTAACTATAAAATCAAAGCAAAAGCAGCTGGAATTCAATTAATACAAATAGTGCAGAAGGTAAAGTTCACTTCTGAGAAAACTGAGGTACAAATGCTGCTTTTCTGTCTCACTGCATACATAAATATGAGGTCTACTGGTGTTTTGCAACAACATTATTCCAAAATTATTCATGAAAGTTAGCTCCCAAATGCCCCACTGTGAGTTGCTTTAAATTCAACATTAGAAATGGAGAAAGTGAAGCCTGAGCACTCATCTCCATTCAACCCATCAAGATCCACTCACAGGTAAACTGCACCTCATTGGAGTCACTGCTAATGATGCCAGAGCTGAGCCTGATAGCTTGTGACATGTCCACTGCTCCCACTATGATCCACAACGAAATAAAAGACAAGTGATCAGTGCCACTGTTCTGCCTCAGTAACCATAATAAAGACAGAAGCTCATTGTGTTATTTATGATTTGATTATTTCTTCCTGCTCGCCTATCAGGCGTTATTACCTCAGTGCATTACACCCAGAATTACACGTTCCTTCTTGTGGATAAGCTGAGCACAAGGAAATTAAGTACGCATGAACAGCTAATGATATTATGGAAGGAACTGGATCACAGATATCACACTGTGATTGCTCCAGTCAGCTGTGGTAAAGCGGACAGATGTATCAATGTGTTTTTGGGCTGGTTGGAGGGTAACAAGATTAGTTGGATAGAGCAGGGACGTGCAGAGGATGTTAGAGGGGCAGGGGCCCAAATTCATGAAAATTCAAATAGTTAAATCGCTATATGGCAAAGGGATAGTGAACCCTAAAGTAAACCAGCAGACAAAATGGTATAATCATCATCATTCACACACACACACACACACACACCAACAATCACACGACACACTACACACACTTACACTCACAGTAACTACAGGAAATGAGCTGATGGTGACAAGGACTTAGATACCTTAGATCCTGTTACAGTAGAGGGAGGGGGCCTGTCAGTACGCTGTCAGTGATGAAGAACTAGCATACCCTACACAACAATCCAGTAGCATGAATGGTTATAAAGTAAGAAGCCTAAAATAAAAAAAATTGCCATTCAAGTCCATTAGCCTGTATGAACATGCAAGCATATGCAAACATTATTGTGTTCTATCACCGTAATAAGGCTCGAACACAGTGCTCGCTGCTGTGGCAGGAAACCAGGAGGGAGGGAGAGTACAGGGCATCGGACCAATCTCCCGATCTGATATTTTGATTCAATCAATGTATTTGTTTGGCAGGGCAGGCTGTGTGCAAAAATAAAAGCAACAAATAACGGGCACTTTCTTTGTAAAAGGCCCAATGGCAGGTGCCCAAGCCCCCCTGGGAGGTCTATCTTTGCACTTGCATGGGGTAGAGGCCATCAAGGGGTTAGGTTAGAGGTCAGAGAGGTTACAGTAATTATTGAAGACGGATGGACAGTGTGTAATTTGTAAGTCACCTGTGGCCACTCACTCCCCAGTCGGCACTAACACATGGTTCTGCCACATCCACCTATAGAGATCTTGTTTTTTTATCATGACTTCAGCAGATATACAAGGAGGGAATCATCTACATTAAATAGAACTAACCTGAGTGGAAATAAACAGTGTCAATGTATTAAACCAGACCTCTCTTTATATTCCAGTGGAGGATAAGAAGTATAGTGACAAACCAGCGCCGTCGGGTCTGATGGGCATTGCTGTGAATTACTCATACCATATACTCAGAAAGGACAAATGGACCCACCTGTGAGCGAGCATGTGTGAAAAGACTGGGTGATTGAAATCAAAGTGGGAACAACCACCAAACCACAGTGTTCTAAAGGATCTCTATCTGCCTGTTGTCAACCGGTATACTAACTGAGGATTCCTATTTCAATCAGATGTCAGTTAAGGATTATTTTCTTCTCCACATAAAACGTTCAGACAGTTCTGTAAACAGTTTTTGCTGATCTCCATTAAAAAAGCCTTGTTGTCATGGAACAATGCAGTGTGTGTTTGGCATAGAATTCGCAATAGGAATCATAGAGATAATTCATTAGGATGGGGATTGCCAATTAGACACATGATTAGCTGTAATTAGACCCCATTTAGGACGCCATGCATTGCAAAATAAAGCTGTTTGCTGCGAGTGAGGCTCAGCGTTAAACAACTTTTGTTTGTGGGGGTCATACAGTCCCTGAAGACTAGGTGCCCTATATATTTAAAATATTTAAACTAATGTTTAAATATTTTTTAAAGGACTGTTTATATCTTCTGAGCAGACCATCTAAACAGGTGATGATGGTTATGCAACAAAAGCATTTGCAGGCGCAGCAACATTGTGGGGAAACGTTTCTCGCTGTGGTTAAGTGGTTTGAAGCAGTTTCAATCTTCTCATGTTAGCATGTGAGACTTTTTACTCAACCCTACTTAATGTGTATTGTATATGTGTATGCATATTATGAATCTAAAAGAGATGAATTAACTTTTCATTTTCACTAATAAACAATTAATCCTACATTATTTACTAATCTTAATGTCCAACCTACTGCCTCTTTTTGCAATATGCAATATGCTTAAAATAAATTCAACAGCAAGCTAGTGGCAGACCTGAAGCAAAGGTTACCTGTCATGTAGCCTGGGTTACATGAAAATGACTCTTCAGTGGTATTGACTTTGTACTGTATGTGCAAATGCTGATTTATGGCTGTGAAAGCCATTCTTATGGTTGAGTACCCATTCATCACCTCCAGCCTCTTCAAGTGGAGTTCCAGCACTGCAAATTGAACCTAACACACCACAGCATTGACCCAGTCACAGCAGCCGAGTCCAGTCTGAGTGTTGTGAAGTGAATAAGTTATATACCCAAGGCCTCCTGTCTAACTGAATGTAGGTCTGCTTTTTCACAAGACAACCCAGTATGCACTTTCAGCAGATGCTTAGCTGCTTTCATGCCCACTTCCCTAAAAAGTTAGTATCTCTTTTGGCTACAGTCAGTTTTTACCGTCACTGAGAGTAATATGTTGTATGTTCAATAATTCAAATATCAAATATAAATGATTTATTCACAACAGTGGGAGGAGGGGGTCGTCCTTTTCCTTAGTTCCTTAGACATCTAAGAAAAGACAGCACTAGAGGAACGGAGGAGGAATGGTATAGCAAGAGACAGATGCTAGTTAAATTTGCAGAAAATCAAATGGAGCCTGGCTTAACTATCAGTGAACCTGTGGAAGATGGATGGGATGTAGGTCAAGAAAAAAATATCATGTAACTGCAGTAAAGTAAAGTTTTCCGCCAAGGTTCAGACTAAAGAAAACACAGTGTAGGTGTGATCACACCCATAAGCTTCTGCAGGGGATTTGAGGCAGGAAATCGCGCTAGCTAGGGCCCTTAGATGGCAGCAGGATTAGCCACAGCCTTCACATCCCTTCTGCCAACTGGTGTGTCAATGATGAGCCGAGTTCACACAGCTCCCACGTTGGCCCGCCCTCCACATCTGATAATATTTTTGTGAGGTTGGCGCGTAAGTTTGTCCCAGGAGAGACAGAGCTTTCTTGGTGCAGCTGGGGAACATCAACCCGCAGCAGCAGACACAGATGACTTGACCTAGCTGATGCATCCTCAGGTAATGTGATGTGACGCCTGAGCTCCACTCTCTCAGGCACTATTCACTTCCCACTTGTCGGCCACCTCGCCGAAATGTGGAGGATTGGACATCTCCTGCTAGGGCAGTGCGATCAGATCAAAGCCAGTTCATGCTTATAAAGGAATGCTAAATCAGGACAGAAAGTGTGCTTCGGTACTAAATAGGATTTTACACTGAAATCTTAAATCCTGTGATCACAACCAGCGTACAGAGAGTGCTACATTTTAGAGGCTTTAGATGCCACAAAAGACACATTTAATGTTACAAGCTACTACAACTGTTTCATATGGAGAAGACAAACCACTCCCATCTTTAAAGATGAAACAATATTTAAATTTAAAATCCATCACTGCCCATATCCTGTAAACAAGCACTTCTTCCAGAGCAAAACTGCTGTCAATGAAAATATTTCAGAGCACCATGAAATAAAAATGCTGGTAGAAGGCAAGTTAATCATTGATAAGTGCTGCTTGTACTATCAAGCGCAGCTCAGTTTCTGTCCTGTTTGACTGTCTGCTTGACTTACAGAAGCACGTGAAGTGAATGACAAATTGTCGCAGATCATGTGATCGGATAGGGTGGTGTGTGTGGGAATGGACCCGAAGGGGTTTGAGATGTCTGAGAACAGAAAATCAAAGGAGAGCAGAATTGTGGCACTGGCTTGTTGTTTGTCTCTTGACTTTGTGATTGTTCTTTCAACAGAGTATTGTCTCTGAGAGTTATAAGGTCACTGCAAAGGCTTTTAGGTGACTGCACACTAGAGATCTAGCTCTATAGCTGATTTCAACAATTTCAAGTTCTTAGATTTTGTGTTATATGCACTGCTTCGGGGATTACAATGGACGAGGGGCTTGGGCTCTGTCTACCTCCTGATGACACGTGGAATGAAAAGAACAAAAAAAAACAAAAAAAAAACATTACCAAGCACATATGCATATGCCATATGTTTGTGCAAGCGCTTACTATTCCAGGAATCTCATTTTAAAACAATCTACCATATACAATGTCTTCTAAAACATACAGAAAGAAAAGCAAACATGGATGGTTTATGACTGCTCAAGTCAATCATTCAAGCTAACTAAACACTAATAAGGGTACAATAAATAAAATTATAGAGGGCCTGTACTTATTCAAAATGTAAATTACACTCTTTATCACTGTCTTGTGTTGTCAAATGACATACATGCTTGCATGTTGTGACCAAATATTTCCCATACCTACTTCCCCCAAGACATATTTGCATAGCCATCAACAGTTTGGTTTTGGTCCCACCAGCTGGCAGATAAGTGATAACAGAAAGTGAAGTGCCTTACTAAAGGTCACTTGAACTAAACCATAGAGCACGGTGTGGCTATCATGCATCCCATCTTTTTTTCACCCTTGTCTTTCCCCTTGTAATTGCATTCTCACTGTTCTCTGTGAAAGGATCCTCAGTGAAGGGCAGAAATGCAACATTAAACTGAATGTGAGCTGATAAACAGAACAATTAGAGGAGAAAAAAGGATACAAGACAGGTGTCTACAGGCACGCCAGCAACTCTGTGAGGCTTTACTTAAAGCAGAGGTTTGAGCTAAACGCTAATGTCTGCATGCTAAAATGCTCACAGTGGGGTGCCCTGATAGCTCACCTGGTAGAGCTGGCACCCCAGGTACGAAGACTGAGTCCTTACTGCAGCGGCCATGGGTTCAAATCCGACCTGTGGCCCTTTGCTGAATGTCATTACTTTTTGTGTGACTTTTGCCCTGCCTTTGGCCCTTTGAAGCTCTGTGGAGCGCTTCGGAGGGACTTTATGGGAGAGAAAAATAACATTTGAAAGTGCTACATGTGTCTAAACAACGCAGAGATTCATGCGTCACTGACACAAGGTCTGTGATTTGATTTATTTTGTTGATTTATTACTTGTCTCTGTAGGAAGCCACTCAAATCAGATTTGCCTACGTAACTAATCAGTGAGCTCTTGAACCAGATCCAGCACTGCATCATATTCGAATAGTAGCATTGGTATTGATGGATCAAAGACTAAAATGAAAATATGCAGCCAAAGTGCTTTCAGAAATGAGAATTAGGTTATGAAGGGAGTTGTTTTGGGCTGCTGATGTTTTAAGTCATTTGCATGTCCCTGGGAAAACACCATCTGACCTCAATTTGCTGTTTCTGTTTCACTTCACTGAACTGAAATAATAGACAGTTCTTGATGTTTTGAGGGAGTTTTACAAACTTACGGTTAGAAACCCTAAATTCCTAAAAAGCTGGAGATAACCAACTTTTATACGTCAGCAGCAATATTGGTATGTCAGACTTTCCCGTACAATTTGACATTGAGGATGATGGATTAGTAACCAGTGCACAGATAAAGATCTGAGTTTTATTTTGCGATTCCCAGCTTGTCAACCTATTTACCCAGCAATCTCCAGGGGCAGGAAGAGGAAAAGGGCAAAGTGCTGAGTAACTTTACTGTGGCATAAATCATGCTTTGTGTTTGGCATAACAAAGGTGGGGTCCATTATTCATCAAGATAGAACAAAGGGCCAATGAGCATTTACCAAGCAGTGAGATAATGGGTTTCCTGTTGATGGAGCTGAGAGAAAACACACACACGTGCATGCTGTGGATTGCAGATAACATGCTTTGAAACATTTAGCATATTGCTGCTACTGCGGAATAACTATGCAACTAAAGTTTTGGCATTCGGTTCATCTGTGCACATGAACTGAATATTTATCCTTAAACCAGACAGTGTGAATGATCTTATAAATAATTCCTGACACGGTAAAGGTCCAGTATGTAACATTTAGGAGGATCTGTTGGCAGAAATGGAATATAATATTTAAAGGTATTTTTTCATTTGTGTATAATCACCTGAATATAGGAATCGTTGTGTTTTCATTACCTTAGAATAAGCTGTTTTTATCTCCAGACACATCAGGTCACCTTTCATGTCGACCGTGTAGAGTCCACCATTTTCCCACAGTGACCCAGAACTGACAAACCAAACACTGGCTATAGATTGGTCCTTTTCTGTTTTTTTACGAGATTGGTTGTTACCTTAGAACAAGCCATTTTTATCTACAGACACTGCAGGTCTTCTCTAAAAATATCCTTTTTTTCGTGGCCACCGTAGTTTCTCCCTCGGCTTGGAAAGTGAGTGAGTTACAATCTACACAGTTAGATGCCACTCAACCCTACACACTGTACCTTTAATTGGTTGTGACCTCTTAATATGAAGCAACATCTCTTTGCAACCTCTTGTCATGGTTTGCATGCCCATATGTTGTGAGCATATGTTAGTGATTTTCCCCTCTCAGACTGTTTGACTAGATTTTTAGAGGCTTGAATGTTGATGGACACACTCTTTCCTACAGATTCCATAGAGGTTTTACACTATGTAAAATGGTTTGTATATGGTATCTGAACGTGACATGAATATAACATGACATCAAAAATAAAACATACAGTGTGTATGTATGTCCATATGTGTTGTTTGTGTCATATGCCACACACACAAGTATAAACTTGAATGAAATCTGTACCATGTATGATGTTATAGACAAATATTGTGCTGTGTTCATATGTCAACAATAAAATGATACAGAATATATATATGGGCAGATTGTTTTACCATTGTACTCTATAACAATCAGCAGTAGAGATTAGTAAAATGGAGTATCTGTAAGATTTCATTTGTTTTTCTTTGTCTGTAGATCATCTATACAGAATACGTAACAATTCATGAACATGCCCTAACCAAGATGTTTTTTGTGCCTAAACCTAATCAAAGTCATACACAGTGGTCTAATATCAGCAAACGGTTCTCGAATCTCAACTAATAAGCTGTTGAAATGTTACGAATGGTCTATAAACAATCTGTAGGCACAATATCCAAATAAAATGTGGCAAATAATTACCTCTATCTCTTGCTGGTCATCATAGTTTAACTGCTGGCAACCATCAAACAAAAACTCCTAATCACAGAGTGTATACATATGGGGGTTACATTGTGAGATAGTAAAATTGTAGCGCTTCAGATCTCTTTCCCCATGCTTAATCAAAGCGTCCCCCCTTAATTACTGGGGCAGATTAAAAATAGCAAAGCCACAGTGTATGCTCCCCCGTCAGCCCCCACAGCCTGTCAGAGCTGGCAACTGAGCCCGTGGGCAGCATATGTGAAAGACTCATCTGCTGCTATCCTTTCTCCCTTTAATGAATTTACTACATCACACGTAAACATTTCACCCTCTTCTCCCGTTCATAGATAGTGATGACACACATTAGGAGGGAGCGCAGGAGGCGAGCCACACGAACTGAGAGAGCAGGCACTCCTCTCAGGCACAATGGTGCTCATTCCCCGAGAGTAACGCCTGTTGACATGGCTTCTGGGAGACTGGACATCTTAGGGGAGACGCACAAAGTCCACAAGGGCTGCCTGCTATTTCATGTGCTAAAACAAAATGTCAACATGTTGGCCGAGGCCATGTTCCTGCTCTTTACTGCAGGGAGTTTTAAACATTTTTATGCCGCTGTGCCCCAAATAGACACACATAGGCCACAAAGCCCTATTTAAATAGACTTCATCCCTTGGATTCTGATATGGGTTTTTGTTATTGTTGTATAGTGCTGAGTTATGTAACAGTGTGTTCAGTGGACTTGGAGAGATACTCATGGTGACAATGAAAAGTATAATTAGAAAAGTCCATATGCTCTAATTGGGAACCAAATCATTTGACAGACGGCAATATGCAGGAATTGGCCAAATGTACTGCCAACCCAAACAAGCAGATGATTTTTGGAATATAATGTGATGACATAGTAAAGAATATTAACACAGCTTTGGAAATTTGAACTGATATCAGAAAGATATTTTGGCCTGATTTAACGAGCTAATGCGGGCAGCAGCACTTTTTGTTGGCACACAGGTGTTCAATGATACAAACCATCCACTTCAGTTCAACAACAAAATGCCTGTTTCCACTTTATTCATTACAGTAAAATGAATCTTATTTCGCTTGCTTTGAAAGAAGACCTGCAGTGGCCTTGATGCTACCTGCATGGCTAGCAAATTAGATTTTAGTCTATGAACAAATACTGGCAAAACTAATGACATGACCCTCAGATGGCTAATAACTAAATGTTAGCAAGCTGAAAGGTTAAACTGAGATGGTGAACTCTGTAAATACTACACATCAGCATGTTAAAGACGCTATAATTATTCTTATAATAAGAATAATATATGATATTCATGTAAAAAGGGATCCCTCACAGCAGGCCAGATATGAGGTGCCATTTTCAAATATTCTTGTTATTCAGTTTGCCATATCAACATTTTAATTCTGACACCACATCAAAATTTAAATCTCCAATGCATCTGTAATTTTATTACAGTATTTTTTCTCATAGGCAACGTGCATAGCAACAAGAGAAAATTCTTCCATAATCAAGACATCATAATTATATACAAGAGCTCTATACAAGAAGGCTGCCATCCTTGAAAATAAAATATATCCACATCTGAGTTTAAATGTATGTACAGGCATGAGGGGCTTTAATAAGACAGGGAACGCAACTGCTAATGGCTGTCGAAAAGGTCATTTGGTGTTGCTTGTGTGCCATTGGTTGAGGTATTGCATGCCAATGCTGGCACGCATGCCCAAGGTTGCTGACCCCTACATAAGAAGATTAGTGTCACGACTTGCCTCGTCTAGACGTGAAAAGTATAAATTAAGAAAGTGTGCATAGGGAGTATTCTGGGCTACTGTAGAAACATGGCTTTTCAACATGGTGGACTACATGGAAAGAGGATCCAATACCTCTGTAGATATAAACAGCTAATTTTAAGATAACAAAAACACAATGATTCTGATTTTCAATAGATTATTTTGCCACTAGATCCTCCTAAATGTTACACACTGGACCTTTAAACTGGATATTTATCATGTATATACAAACACAGCTTGAATAAGTCTGTACTGAGATGGTTACATACATTAACACTCTTACACCTGAGCGCTTCCTCAAACCTCCAAGTGTAATTTGTTCCATACTGGTTTGAGTATTTGAACTTCTAACTACTCCTGATCGCAAGACACAACACATCACACGTCAGACTCTTTCCTCTCTCCTGCTTCTCTACAGGACAGTTTCACTCATGAAAGAAAGCAGACAGCTGTCACCCAGACTCTGAATAAAAGATTTTGCTCCAAGCTGACAGAGAATAAAGGCATCTTTTTTGGGTCATCATCCTTAAACATGTCTCCAGAGTCCTTGCTGTAGCACAACAGCCTTGGTGCTAATTCTTAAGAAATGCCATGGATGTTTCAAAGGCGTATAGCAGGCCTTAAGGTTTGTCTTTATTCCTAATGATAGACCTATCAATCTAGTCAGCAAGGATGATGAATTTTGCACAACAAACCTCAAAACCACGAGTGCATCAGGCTTTTGATGAGTATATGGTCTGTGGGGCAAGAGAGCAAGGAGGCCTATGTGGATTGTCTCCTGTTTGAAAATGAGAGAAAAAAGATCCTTTGCGTCTCAGTCTAAAGAACTACATCTCCATCACTGAACCAGTTTATGAATGGTTTTCATCTGAGGTTACCAATGTAGTCCACGGTCATTTTAACCAAGTGATTTTTTATTTACAAAGTGATGAAATGTTTTGCCACTTCCCCAGCTTCTTTCTGAAGGTAACGACAAAGCAGTCAGACAGAGCAATCACAGAGCAGTTGTCAACAGATCGATATTCCACAATATAAAACAGCAGTTAATTACAAAATGATGCAAGACAGCGGAACATCTGTTTGGAGGAAATGTACAGTGTTCTCAAAAATCGAGGTAGAAAAAGCACACACTGCTCAACCGATGACTGATATGACACAGGTTCATACAGGTCACCAAAGAGTTCAAACTGGAGTGTGGTCAGGATGGCAGTGACCACATCCTGGTTCAAAAGGGAGATAGAAACACTGTTGACAACCAGTGGAGCAAAAGAGTCTCAAGAACATGTAAATTCCGAAAGTGAAACTGAGTTCAATAGGTTCCAATAAGGTCAGCAGCCAAATGTGGAATGAAGGCAAAATAACAAGTGAAAAAAGTCCACAGTATCATGGTTTCTGACACATACAGTATTGAGTTCATTTTGAGTTCAAGTGTGCAATAAAGTTGAACATGGAAACACTTCTGCCGAGCTGTCACTTACTACTCAAAATCTCTTATGATCTATGTATACAGTGGCATGTAAGACAAATATGTTTCATGCAGACACTAAACAAACCACTTTCCGTTTCTTTTTATAGCAACAAACACTGAGATTTAATGAATGGAAGATGCATTTTAACACCATTTTCCACCCACCTCCATTCCCTTGGCATCACCACATATTAAACATTTGTGAAATATTTAAGGTGCTCCTGTTAAATTTAGTCAGAGGTCCAAACTGAAAGATATGACTAGAGGTAAAGTGATATAAATTATATTTAATCTTGGCACAAAGCACAATACACCTCCAAGTGTTCACTTTCTGGTTGAAATGAATCTGGGATGTGCTCAAATGCATGTTTAGATAAAGATGTTCAGAAGACATTGAAAACAAAAGAAATGTTTCAAACATCAATTTTGTTATTATACAGAAATCTGTTTGCTTTCTGTTCCATTTGAAAGCCCTAGGATGATTTATTGTGTTTACATGTCATTTCCTTTGTCACTACATTATCCTACCATAAATCCGGAGCCAGGACGGAATTGTGGCATATGCACAAAAGCAGTGTCGACTTGAATAGCCCATCAAGTACGCTCTATGATTTTCTTTCCCAAAATAGAATGACTGAGTCACACACACACTAGAGTGATCGTGCTGTCTTTCTGCCTTTGCGACGGTGCCATAGAGCCACCAACAGTGACTCCCATTCTGTCAGTCTTTGTCTTATCTAAAGGCCTGCTGTGTACAGTACACGTCGCCCTTTAAGCACCAAGTGTACAAGCACAGGGCCACCACACCACACTTTTGGAGAGTCAATATAAGCTGCTGCTTTAAACCTTTAGAGCCTCATGCACACCCACGGCAGACAGTCGACGGTTGATGTTGCGATATCGACAGCGGAGAAGGTCACGATAAGTGGATCGCAGATCTCGGTTGAAGAAGGCGTAGATGAACGGGTTCATTAATGAGTTGGCGTAGCCTAACCAGAGCAGAGTGCGCTCCAGCCAGATGGGCACGCAGCTACACTCCACTCCACAGATAAAGGGCCTGGCAGTGGACAGGATGAAGAATGGCAGCCAGCACACAGCAAATACCCCCACGATCACCCCCAGAGTTGTCGCTGCTTTCTGCTCTCGCTTGAAGATGGAGATGTTTCTGCGTTCACGGTTCAGCAGGCGGGACAAGGATACACACTCCTCTGTCACACCGGGCGGTTTCAGGCCCTGCATTCGCAGCGTCTCATTAGCCACTGTTTCGAGGCGCTCGCGGCGTGAAATATCAGTGAAGCGGTGCTTGGCGCCGCTCTTGCGAGCTGCCTTGAAGATCTTGTAGTACATGACCAGCATGACCAGCATAGGTATGTAGAAGGCTACAGCTGTGGAATAGATGGTGTAGCCAAAGTCTTGGCTAATGAGGCACACACTGGCTGTGTGGACATTTTTAGCCCAGCCGCAGAAAGGTGGGAGGGTGATGGAAGCTGACACCAGCCACACTCCCAAGATCATCTTCGCCATCAACTGACCGTTCTGGCGGGCTGGGTAGGTGAGGGGCCGTGTGATTCCCAGATATCTGCAAGGAAAGGAGACAAAACAAGTATCAGTACTAACTCCCAAGCAGGTTTTCAACAAATGACTAAAGGCAGTCGAAGCTACCTTGATATTTGTTTTAAAACCCTTTAATACCTTGTCCAGTACAGTAGCTTTATCATAGCAAACAAGGATGGCTATTCACTCATCACATATAATGCCTGTCTTCATTGAGATAAAACAGCAGTGAAGCATCAAGTACATATCCACTAATTTCAAAGACAGACATCTCAATGAGAGGTTATGAGCTCTGTCATTGCCTGCGGGGGTCTTTAGCTGCTTTTCTTTGGCTTCGGAGGAGCTTAGCAGGTAGCGAGGGAACTATCAATCAAACGGGCAGCTCAGTGGTTTCAAATAGCAGCTGGAGGTGTCAGAAAAATAAAGATAAAGTGAGGTGTGAAAGACTGGAATTTGTACGAAACTGGGAAAATAGCCACTATTCTCACAAAATGATAAATCTGTGTGCACATCATCACATGCGTTTTGACTGTTTTCCCACAGCCTTCATCAGCATCAAATGCGTCATTGATGAAAGCTGTATATTTGACACTCCCGGCTGTTTTTCTGGTTTCCGCTCTATTGTTCATCAAGATAAAAAGCTTTAGGGAGCACTGGCCAATTTGCCTCGTCGTCCACCAGTGATGCTATCAGCGCTGTCAACATCAAATTCAGCTCAGTCAGCCTGGGCGGGATTCTTTACTTCATCATCGGCTTTTAGGTACAAGTCAGGCCTAAAAGTGCTACTTGATCTTTACACATCAATGTTTCTAAAGCACAGTTTTGTGCTTGTTACAAGTGCTGTGTGGCTGTGTAGAATCTCATATTCTGCTACATACAGATTAAAGAACTGGCATTAATTAAACAACTTGGTTTTCAAACACGCTTAATGCCAAAATGACTCTGAAATCCATTCCAGTTCTTTTAAAAACTTTACTGGCACACAGTACAGAAACAAAATTTTGCAAATACGCAGTACTAATCCAAGTAGTTTTTAGTACTTAGTTTAACAAGCTAACTGGATTTACAAAATTGGGGGGCTGTTAGTCCAGCATCTCTGTTGCTCACTGTAGCTTGGTAACAACTGACAACACACAGTGCAAGTGGTATTCACTTCGAAAGGACAATAAGGCTACAACTGCACTGCAGCTTAAAGCACTTGATTATGTTCCCCTAGAGATACATACACACACAGATTATATAGATTTGTTTTAATCAGCTTAAAAAGTTTAAATCACCACATGCAAAATTTGACAGGCACCTTAGACATTTGACTTGCATGCGACTCATATCAGAATTTGTTAGCGTTGCCATGACAGCAGGTGAAACATCTATCATTCATCTGAGACAGGAGTCAATATTTTGTCGTCCGTGGCAGCTCAGGTGGACGGATGGTGGCATAGACAACCATAAGACACAAGAACTGAAAGAAAGGTAAACACACCTAATTTCAGTCAAAAATATACTAATAAAACATTTTATTAAAAAAGTTTGCTGGAAGTTAAATTTGGTATGGCATATAAGTGAATTTGAATAAATACCATTCCTGAAAAAAAAATCACAAATCAGAAGCCCTAGGCACATACTAATGAAAGGACATTGTAACATTCTTAATTCATTTATGACGACCCAAATTTCCCTTTGGGGATTAAATAAAGTCTATCTATCCTATCTATCTATCCTATCTATCTTATCTATCTATCTATCTATCTATTCTATATATCTATCTATCTATCTATCTATCTAATCTTATCTAAAGATTCCCCTGGCTCAGGCTAGTTGTGCTAACTGAATATTACAATAAGAACTAGTGTTTATTCAACCACCAATCCCTCCAACCACTGCTCTGCCAAGCTTACAACCCTCACTTAAAATGTACTTAAGCTTTACAGGAGGGACTGAACACATCCAGGCGAGCAATGTCAAATAGATACAAGAGAGATCCTGAGATGGGTACACTCCATGCTGTGGGAATTCTTAGGAATTTATAATGAAAACTCAGTAATGCAACACTCCTCCCTGAATGCATTATTCAATAATGAGAAAGGTGGTTGTGGTGCTTATTTGGGGGGACATATGTGTGTTTGTGGGGCGGTGGAGTTCCACCGCCCCACAAACACCACATATGTCCCCCCAAATAGCACCACAACCACCTTCTCATTATTGAAATAAATGCATTTCCAGGGAGGAATGTGTGCATTACTGAGTTTCATTATAATTCCTAAGAATTCCCAACAGCATGGGAGTGTACCCATCTCAGGATCTCTCTGTGATCTATTGACATTGCGTCGCCTGGATGTGGTCAGTCCCTCCCTGTAAAGCTTAAGTACATTTTAATGGAGGTTGTAAGCTGGCAGAGCAGTGTTGGAGGGAATTGGTGGTTTGAATAAAACACTAGTTCTTATTGTAATATTCAGTTAGCACAACTAGCCTGAGCCAGGGGAATCTTTAGATAAGATTAGATAGATAGATAGATAGATAGATATATAGAATAGATAGATAGATAGATAGATAAGATAGATAGGATAGATAGATAGGATAGATAGACTTTATTTAATCCCCAAAGGGAAATTTGGGTCGTCATAAATGAATTAAGAATGTTACAATGTCCTTTCATTAGTATGTGCCTAGGGCTTCTGATGTTGTGATTTTTTTTTCAGGAAATGTATTTATTCAAATTCACTATATTCCATACCAATTTAACCTTTCCAGCAAACTTTTTTAATTAAATGTTTTCTTAGTATATTTTTGACTGAAATTAGGTGTGTTTACCTTTCTTTTTCAGTTCTTTTGTCTTATGGTTGTCTATTGCCACCACTCCGTCCACCTGAGCTTGCCACGGACGACAAAAATATTTGACTCCTGTCTCAGATGAATGATAGATGTTTCACCCCTGCTTTGTCATGGCAACGCTAACAAATTCTGATATGGAGTCGCTGGCCAAGTCCAAATGTCTAAGGTGCCTGTCAAATTTTGCATTTTGGGTTGATTTAAACTTTTTAGCTGATTAAAACAAATCTATATA